GCGCTGACTGTTTGTCAGCAAGTCTTTGGTAAGCAGTATGCGTGTTTGAGTCGGCCCGCTAACGCCGACTATGAGCGACTATTAATGCGAAAGTTGTAGGCGTGCCACTGTCTAGCTTTCTAGTTGGTGACTCTTGCTTTTGGCCCGCCTCAGTGGCCCCGATCGAACAATCACGTATCTGTTCCGCGGAGGCTGGATTAGAGATAGTTCTTTCGGCGGTCGACTCCAAAATCCGGACAGGAAATGCGTGTGCAGATGCTGCGTTGTGGTGTGCGTTGAAGGCAGTGTGCTGTGTTTTCGGCTTCATGCTGTGCTCTCAGTCTACAGTCGTTTTCTCACATTTGGCACTGGACAGCGTTTCAGTCCAGATACCGTTAGAAGATTTAGACCGACCGGATCTCAGTGGTACACATCTGTTCGGTAGTATATTCCGAATGGTCGTTGACCTCCTTCAAGGACGGGAAAAGATGGAGCTCTTCAGAGAGTGAACACGTGAATTATTGTCCTCACTGCTGCGGTTTTCCGTGTGTGCTATCTGGCTTGTCGGGAGCAGCCTGTCGCATCTATCTTCCATAATCTCTTGTCTGAATTATTTGGCACATTGTAATTCCGCGCGCTTTTTTTTCATCAGAACACTGACAGATGGCACCAACGTCAAACTATCAAGTAAGGTTCAAACGGAGTGCTTGTTATTCATGTTGGTGGAACCCGCCGTTGCGAGGCGAGCTGCCATCTGATAATCCGGTCAACCGCCGAGGTGGCCTGTCGGGCAGAGTTAGTTCCCGTTCCCACCCGTTGACTACGTGGTGCATCCACAAGCGATGGAGAGCGGACTGGCCTTCGACGAAATCTTACAATAAAATAAGCAGGTTCCGGCTCCTGGCGAGTAAAGAACGATCGCAGTAGGGCGTCTGATATTCATGTCTTGTAAATCTTTACCGAGGACAGTACTGGGACATGAAAAACACAGATTATCACCGAATAGAATCTTCAGTCCCTAGCGACTGAAGATTCTATTCGGTGATAATCTGTGTTTGTCGAGCCAAACTGTCGGATTATCACCGACACGTATCTTCAGCGTCACCAAAAGTGCACCTTGAACCGAAACTGCAACAGTGACGTTTCGATCGGTCCCCATTGACTGTGTTCCAGGTTCCGTGGCTAGTTATATTCCACGAATCTACAGAGGCCTTTGATGCTTCTTTCGGCAACACGAAACGACTCACAAGGTATT